TCTTGGTTCATCATTTTCTTCCTCTGACAGGGAAAAAATGTCTGTTTAAAGCTTTACTCTATATAAGTCTAAAATACCAGTGCCTCATACCCTGGCTGTACAGTGTGTTTCTATCACATCCTTTAAGAAATATCCTAAAGTGTGGTTTAATCTCATGAAAACAGGTAATTTGGCCATTGGTGATACAGTGTGAAGGGTATCCTGAAAATTTTGATTGCTCCCCTTTTTATTTATCTTGGTGGGGCAGATTAGAGGTTTCACAGATGGCAATCATTCCTCACATTAGTTGTCTAGCAAGGAAGGAATGAAATCTGCTCTATAAATTTGAAGGCTTCCTTATCTCTTGCTGTAACTCAACATTCTTTTCCTTCTACAAAGTTAAGGGGATCCTAGTGAAATTCCTGAAAGTGAAAGCCAAGTAAAAGAGGAAGGACCTTGTTGTGTTCTGTAATAATTCTCAGGGAAATACTTATCACATGTATTGCACAACTCCACTAATGTTTTCAGCACTAGGGATTAGTTTAACAACATAAAATTCTTGAATGAGCCTGTTTAAGTAGCTACTGATAAACACAGACTCAGACACAAAAAAAATAACCATTTTCTAAAATTTATTGCCTTTATTTAAAAGCAGCATTTTTCTTTTAATTAGGGATTGCATTACTTGCTAAATTTAGTAATTTAGTTAATGAATACATAAAGGAATATTAATGAACAATAACTATGAAAAAATATTAATGTCTTTTTCTAGTAAACTGGAGGGAGAGTGTGACAAATCAGTAAAAGGCAAGTAGATGTCTGTTCCTTCATTGATATTTGTCCTCTTATAGCCATAACTAGATAATCTATTTATTTGATGAAATTAAGGACAGATTTATTAGTATTAATTTATTTATTTACTAATTTATTTATTAGTGATTAGATCCTATTAGTATACCTTTTTCAAAATAAACTGCACTGACATTTACCAAATCTACTGTCATTTTACATAAATCTAGCTAGTAAATCCTAGTGTAGTGGTAATGTCAACAAACACCAATGTAATAAAAAAATGTGGTCCATAGATTACTTCTCTATTTAAATCCTTTTGACTCTTTCTTAGTTATATGGTTTTGCAAGTGAACATCTTATCTACCTTTCTTGTTTTCCTAATATCAATTGTTGTGAAAGCGAATACTTGCAGATTTCAGTTTTGAACAACAATTTTAACGCAGCTTTTATCTGTCCTTCTGAATTTTTTCCTTTCATTTCTTTTTGAATCTGTATTGCACTGTTAAAAAAAAAATCATCTTTTTCAGAAAGAACAGTAGTGAGTTGATATATCTGCACTCTTATAACATTCATAGCTTATAAAATACTGGCCTTGTGATTCCTAACTCCTTGAATAACCACACTCAAGTCCAAGGCATTGGAAAGAAACATGAATCACATATATCTGACTATAGCATTTCAGTGAAAGGCTGACTGGTTTATGCCCTGAAGCCCATGGATTCAATAGATGTCTTTCATTTAAATGAGTTTTAGGTCAGATCTACTATGGCTGCACAAACACTGAAAAATCAACAGCATTTTTTTACTGGAGTGAGTAGCCTGCTTAACATGATGAATATCATATACTACGTAACTAAATCCGTAAGAAATGCCTGAGTCCTGTTGCCCATTTAAACAAAATCAAAGGTACTTTGACAGAACTCAAGTGGACAGAAAGCTGCCTCAAAATGAGTATGTTAACTGGAAAACTGAAAACATCAGTGTCACTTTTATCACTGAAGCAGAAATTGCCGGGTTTGGGAAGAGATTTTTAACACTTTATATCTGAAGAACATAAACATCATTGAAGGACTTTTCTGCTTGGTCACGGATATTCTTTATGAAAGATTCATGTGTATTTTGTTACCACGTTCTATTTTGTAGCATTAAAGAAAAGCATGGGTGGGAGGTGCAGGGATAAAATCTTTCCAAAAATATCCCTTCTTTTACTGCACCCCCTGCTTTATCTGCAGGCCTTGACTGTTTTGGACATAATTTTTTTCCCAGCAATTCCTTTCTCCTTCTTCCTTAGCAATGCCTCTGTCCTTGACTGCATTTTTGTCTTGGGATCTGTACTTTTTTATTTTTTGTGGACTAAATGTCTGCTTTGTTCATATTACTTGCAGGTTTAAAATTTTTCTGGGTCAGCAAACCTAGAAGAAATGATAAAACTTTGTCTTTGGGGACAGCTCTGAGTTCTTAGATCTGACCCTACAATGAGAATATCAAAGTCAGTGACAGACCAAAGGAGTAAAGAAGATATTGTGAAATTGACTTGCTTTGATGGTATAATATAAAAAAAGAAAATAGACACTGAACCAAGAACAAAACACTTGCCAAAAACTTAGAAAAATCCAGAACTCAATTCTATGGAACATTACTGAACTCATCTTTCATATTACTTTATACTTCTGTAAACTTTCCAATTTTTGCTGCCAATTTTCAAGAATGATGTGGTCTGGAATATTCCTCTGTGGTGCCTAACAGGATTAGGTATGACCCCATGGGAAATCAGTTTAATTTTATACTGCTGGTGTTATTTTCTACACTTAAAATTTCTAAGTCTGTGGACAACACTGAACAAAATCTGGAGATGAAAGGGACTCTAAAACCTTTTGAGTGCTCTAGAAAGATGATGTCAGAGACTACAGAATAGCCCAAAGAGCAATAACTCACAGTTCTTTGCAAAAATTATCATGAAAAGCCCATCTCTGCAGGGTGAGAAATATAGGATAAATGCACCCAAGATAAAAAAGAAGACTAAAGAATAATCTGTCAGGAAGAGAAACCTGTTTTCCCAACAGAGTGGCCATCCTTACCCAAATCCTTCCAGAAGCAGCAGGGCCCTTTCTCTCCCCTCAGGCAGCAGCAGTGAGGCTCCAGGTCAGCTTGCAGAGGCAGAAATGAAGGAGAATAATGGTCAGATCATTAAAGAAATTAATTAAATGCCAGAAACCTGGCAGCATGGAAGTGAGACAATGGGGCTGCCCTTTCTGCAGTAGTGGATTCCAGCTCCCCAGACCAAATTACAACCTCAGATCCCAACATGACCCATGGAAACAGCAGCTGGGAAAAGCTCACTGAAGAAGCAAAGCACTTAGCAGCAAAAGGGAAGGATCAAGAGAAAATATGTTCAGATTAAAACCACACTTTTGCTGGAGCAAAGGCAACCAGGACTGACATGATCTCCCCATCAGTGATGGAAAAAAAGAAAAAAAACTGGCTGGGTTAGGGTTAGGGTTAGGGTTAGGGAAAAGAAGCACCTCCAAGCCCTGCTGTGAGAGAAAAGGAGCTTGTAAAGTCCTGCAGACAGAACTGCCAGCCAGATCAGGGGTGTTGCTCATAAATTGTTGAGTTATATTTTTTGAGGGAATTGTTGAGGGATTGGATAACAGATTGAGGAATTGTTTAAATATTGTAATTGCTAATGGGAAAACAGCACAGCTCAGTGTTTCAACTCATGGTGTGAGAAGTGAGAAAACTTCTCCAGGTTGACTCCAGCCTCTTCCAAAAATTTCTTGTATGCCCTATTTTAATCCTCCTTGCTATCTAGGAAATGGGGACAGGTAATAGCTTGACACATGTCCTTTAGGTATAATAAACTCTATAAACTCTATAAATAAACTTTAGGCATAATAAACTCTATAAACTCTATAAATAAAAAAAATGTCCTTTAGGTATAATAAACTCATCAGAAAATAGGGCAGAGATAAAAGTCATGAACTGCATTTCATGAGAGTTTTTGTAATATGGTGTAAGAAACATTCATATCCAAATCCTAAAGAGTGAACATCATGTTTTTTTTCTGAAAAAAAGCAGATTTTCTTAACATAGGGATTTAAAATTTTCTCTCTAGTATATCTGGGATCATATACAGAAACTTTTAGGGAATGAACATCCAATAATGGGTATAAAAAGGCCCAAAAACATTATTCTGAGTCATCTCTCTATTTTTTTTCTTCTCTTAAAGCTGTGAAAGGGAGATATACTTAGGACTGTGTGCCTTTTACATCCCATCTATATTTTTCCAATTAAAGGAAAGCAAATCTGCTTTAAAGCTATCACAGGGAAAATAATTTCCCTCCACAAGATGGCTCCCACAGTGAGAAACTCCAGGCTCTGAAGATTTCCTTTTTTAGTTCTTTAGAAACTAATCCCAAATCATATGATTTAATCTGTCTGCTTCTAGCTCCTGAGGATTGATGTTTATTAAATATTAAAAAAAAAAAAGTTTTGTTTTCTTTTATGCTGCAATTATTCCATGATGCAGGATAGATAACTTTGTTATTACAATTGCTCACAATATGGGGAAAATTTCTTGATGCCTGTTTCGATTATTTTTGCTAACTGTGTATTTTTTTTCTAAAAAATCTAATACAAGTGGCCATTTCATGCCAGGGATGCCTAATAAGAACTCCCCACTGAAATCAGTGAGAAACTATGACTAAAAATCAATGGTTACATATGATCCAAGTTGTTTTATTCTAAAATATTCTATGACAGTCTTTGGGGAAGCAGTAGCAAAAACCAAATCTGGGTATTAGCTTCACAGACACAGTGTTTTCATGATTTTTCAGTGACAGAGTTTCATGGAGCTTAGCAGATTAAAGGGAAAAGAGACATCTAAGAAAATATATATAACCAAATCTGTAGAATGAAAGAGTTTTATGACTGTAAGAGTGTTTACAAGCATCCTACCTGGAAAGTTAATACCCCTTGCTCCTGATGCTACAAAAGAGTTATGCACATACATTAAAACATATCTACAAGCTTGAAACTGTGAGAGAAGATTGAGCCATGTGGTTTTGTCTTGTTTTGCTGTTGGTAAAGAGCACATACAAAGGAAACAGAAATGTACCTTGATACAAGTGAGCCCTGACATTCTGGTTTTGAGCCTTGAGCAGACAAACAGATACAACCAAGCTTTGTGTGCTTGTAGCTAATTAGGTTTTTTTTTTGCATACCAGCAGTACCTGGGGCTTTCCATCACTGTACACAGAAATTGCACTTGCAATTGTGTCAACATCTGTCTCCAAAGGAGCTGAGAGGCTGAGGATGAAATGCTTGCTTTGTTTACCTGCATCTCACCTAAGCTAAAAGTACATTGAAGTGCCCAGTGCTGCTGCATTTGCACATCAGCCAAGGAACTACGTGGTAAGCAGTTATTTTGTTTTTAATCTCAGGAGAGTGTTTTATTTTTCCTTCTCATACTTCATTAATGGTAACTGTGCAAAATAATTTCTTCCTTTGAGCTTATTGAGAGTCGATACACAGGATTCTGGAAAAGTCCCATGTAAAACAAAAAAAAAAAAAATTTCTTTTTTTGCTTTGGTTTTGAAAAAAATGAATATACAGGTATTTGTACCTTTCAAGAGGCAGATATTGAAAAGGATGAAGGTCATTTATAAGCTCAGAAGGATTTATGGTAAAATGTGTGCCGATATTTCCTCTGACTCAAGTTACCTTCTATTTAAGTGGCATATAAATGAGCTTTAATTAACCTGTTTGAAAATGATAGAGAAATAGAGAAAGACCCAGTGCCAATTTAATAACTAATGTTCCTATTATGCATGCCTGCAGAAAAGCCTGTGGGAGAAAGAAAAAATCACTGGGCATTTTGTAATGTTCACCTTGCAAAGCTCTGTTCTCCCAAGCCTTATGTATTCAAAAATCTGTCATGCAAAAATGATGCAAATCTGTAGTTTACATAGGATGTATAACCATGGTGTTTGGTAGAGCTTGGGGAACTTCCAGCAAAACACAGTTTAATTGGAAAATGCCATTTCATTGAACCTACAATCTTTTGCTCCAGATTTCTACAGCTGAACAAATATCCAGTGCTCTTAACAATTAATCTGACAAGGACATTCGTTTTACTGAAAACTGGAAGGTTTTGGAAGGTTTGTGAAAAATAATCAACTTTTTTTGTTATTTTATTTTGTATTTTTATTTTTCTGTGAGTAGGAATTGTGCATTTTCTTAGTTTGGACATTGGCAGAGGGATCATGTATCACCTGCCTAGCATGGGCCCACATTTGTAAGTGTACTGTGTTTCCCACACAGTAGGGGAAAGTCACAAAAACCCAAATAACTGGAGTGATATATAATTAATGGGGGGCTGGATGGAGTGGAGGAAAAGACATATTCTATTCTTTCACTTTTGTATGTGTCAGAGACATATCAGTTTTTTAGTGTCCCAAAAGCTGAGGATGTACAGGGCAACAAAGAAATGGGCTCAATGTCCTGAATGAGACTCTGATTATCAGAAATATTGATTAGATGGAGCAGGTAAGGAAAGAAACTTTTAGTAAGATTTTGTTCAAGGAGTGTCACTGAAGAAACCCTTTCATAATTTTTTCCCTAGTATCTAATGATGCTGTCAATTAGAAGCCTTTACAAAGCTTAATCTGAAAGGTGTGAAAATTTACTTTGTGTACTAATGGATCTGTCCATCTATTGGATTCAAATCTAGAGGGAAATTATATTAGGGTTATACTCTGAGGTGAAAGTGCTATGGAGGAATGAGAGGAAGAAGCTATGGCAAGGAAAAAAAAAAAGAAAGAAAAAAAAAAAGAGGCAGCAAGAGTTAAAGTATAAAGTATATACCTATTATGTCATTATGTCATAAAGCACTGTATTATGTTAAGCAGTTTATATTTTTTTCCTGAATCTGTGATATTATTTCAAACTATAAAAACCTCAGGAAAAAAAACCCCTTTTTTTAGTTATAAAACAGTTTGATATTAAAAAAGAATAATGGAAATTGTAATTCATACACAAATAAAGAAAACAGAACATGACAGTTGAGAGAGATACAACTGAAAAATTAATTGTAGTTCATGTTTTTTGCCAACACCTTCTTGGACACCTCAGGCTTTATTACACTCACACTCCAGGGAAAAGAATTTCCTGGGTATTCTAGAAAGCACTTAATGAAAAATAAAGGTCTGGTCCAAGTGTAAAGGCAGGGTTTAAAAAAATACAATCAGTATCTCAGTGATCTGTGTTTTGCTAGGGAATATGAATCTGAGGTCTTCCAGCTCCTTTGAATCAGTCATCTCAAATATCTAATCCTCCCATAAAGGAAATCTATTGATATGTAGGAAGAGTTTACTGAACTGTAGTTGCATATATTTCTAAATAAAACAGTTTTGTTCACTCAGTTGGGATTATAGTTCTTCTACTAATATTTTTAGAGATGGATTAAACACTTATATGAGATATTGTGCTGGTTTTGGGTGAGGTAGAGCTAATTTTCTTCACAGTAGCTGATAACTGGCTGTATTTTGGATTTGTGCTGGAAACAATGTTGGTAATTCAGGGATGCTTTCATTGCTGCTGAGCAGCAATTGCACATTGCCAAGGCCTTTGCTGCCTTCCACTTCATCAGCAAGCGGGCTCAGGGAGGGGCACAAGGAGATGGGAGAGAACACAGCCAGGACAGGTGACCTCAGGGGATATCCCAGACCATGCTCAGCATACAAATCTGGGGGAAGAAGAAGGAACGGGGTGACCTTCAGAGTGATCTGTGACTCGAAGTCACCACTAGGCACAAAGGAACCCTGCTCTCCTTGGGAGGGCTGAACCCCTGCCTTCCCGTGGGAAGTGGGGAGTGAATTCCTCGCTTTGCTTTGCTTGTGTGCAAAACTTTTGCTTTCCCTATTAAACTGTTTTTATCCCAAGCCATGATTTTTCCAGCTCTTTCCCTTCTGACTCTCCCCACCCTGCTGATGGGGCCAGGCTGAGCTGCTGACTGGGGTTAAACCACGAGAGCACTTTTGAGCTCCCAGTGTGGGACAAAAGGCTCAAGGCAATGACAGATCTGATTGGGATGTGCTGGATAGAATCCATAGCTGGTTTTGCTGCTCAGCTCTTAATGGACAGCTCCTGTGCCTGCCATGGGGCTCATTGCCTGACTGTGAGAATCTGGTGCTTGTGAGGGGCTGATTTTCCTTTCACTGCTTGCTGCAGTGCTGTGCTGCTGAGCATCCCACTCTGCTGGGACTGGGAATGTTTTGTGACAGCAGTGGGGGCACTGTGCTTGCTGTACTGGGCAGGCAGGAACTCCAGTGTGGGCTCCAAATGTGTGTCCTTTAACAGGAATTTTATAGACTAGCGTTGAGTTAGTAACCTATGCAGAGTACAGGAGATGCCAGCAGTATCTGCTGCAGATTGAGTTCATCAGTTAATTGAGACGTGTCTGTCTATACAAACAGCTTCTGATGATGCCCTGAGAAGAGTGAGCTGTTGGAGAGATTCAAAGGTCCTTTTTCTGTGCTGGTGGCGCTTTGAGACAAGTAACCGAGTGTGAGAGAGGAAAAGTGTTTTCTCTCAATTTGTGCTCAATTAGAAGAAGTTGAAATATACAGGAAGTATAAAACAATTTATTCTGTATTCTCCTGAGATCAATTAACTAGAAATCCTGAAAACTTTTATTAAAAATAAGTATAACAAATTATTCTTCTTTTATTAAAAAGAAGTATATCCTCTCACACCACTCTTTCCTTTTCATGTGTATCCTCTGTACCAAAGGTTTAATATGTCCATTATTCCTTCATGAGTCTAATGATCTTTTTCATCACAGAGAATGTTACCACATCATACATTGTTGTTATTGGCCCAGTGTGTGCAGCTTTATTTATATAGCTGTACACATATATGCATGTCTATTGCATTTATATAATTACACACAAATGTCTTCTTTCCTCAGAATACCTCCCACATTGCATTTCTAATAGCTGGATTTATGTGGAAGGAAAAATATTCACCATTGAATTAAAATACCTTCATTTTGATTTTTAAGTCTCAGCTAGATCTACAGAAAGACTTCTATTTACCTGAAAATATTCTGTTTACCATGTGTTTAACATTGCCATTGTTCTTATGGAATGCATAAAAGAATTTGAGAGATATTAAGGTTAAAATTTTACAAGCCTCTTATTATAGTTGGTTGCTTCCATTTGAGAATAATTATTCAAAATATATCAAGCTTTGCAGACAAATAATTCAACACCCAAAATTAGAAAATAATTTAGAAGATTCATCAGTGGATCTGTGCAAAAATATCCAATTATTTTGTTGTTTGTTGTAAACTATCACCCTTTTAGTCCAATGTAATAAACCTTCATAGTTAACAGGTGATTAAGATAATACTAACAATACACTGTTCCAATTTATCAATTTTTCTATTTCTTTATATTTTATTCCATATTTTTTCAGCAATAAAGTTTCAAAAATGGAAAACATTTCAAAAATAATTTCAGAAAAAAACCCCTGCAATTTCCCCTTGGCCAACTTCTTTATTTACAATTTTGATGTACAGCAGAAAAGCTAATAGAAGACAATTGCTGGCAAAGCAAAGTCTAGGTGAATAGAGTTCAGAGTTGTAATAATTTGCCAAAGCCACCCCATATTGTATTGCCAACAAAGAAAAAAATTGTATCTGAAGACAACTGGGGAAAAAATCAAAAATTTTGAAATGGATTTTGTTTTGTTTATTTGTTTATTTACATATTAATTTACAGCAACCTAAGACATAAACACATACTTTCACAGAATAAAAGGACCTCAAGAATTTCTTGTCCAACCTTGTGCTTTGCATCCTTGTCCAACCCTGAGCAGCTTTGTGGTCAGTTTATGCTGCTCAGGGTTTGATTCAAACATTTTCAGACTTTGAAAACCTCCAGTGAAGCTGCCTCCAGCATCTCAGGGCAGTTGCTCCAACATTTTATTGTCCTTAGAGGGAGGAAGAAAAAGATTGTCCTCATATATGATTGGAAAAAAAATATTTTCAAATTTTATATAGTTTTCCATGTTTCAGAACACATTGCTATTTTCCACTGATTGATCACAAAAGCAATGAACATGCAAGCTGACTCTGTATCAGAACACTTATTTTGACTATATAAATTTTTAATTGTTTGTTTGTGGTTGTACCTGTGTACCCAGCATTCTATGCTTCATGTCTTAATTTTTGAGAAAGCACATCTAGAAATGGCCATAAAATTGTATTTTTCTTACTCCATATCAATAAAAATTGAAGAACAGAAGGAAATAGATAACTCCTGAGGACACCTTTTCTTGGAGTACAGCTTAAGACTATACAGCATCAGGAGTACAAAGACATTATTATTTATTTATTTATCCTGAGAAAT